TAATAAGCATCTTAAATGTGGATATAATTTAAAAAAATGAAAATTGAATCAGTGTATGAAATATTTTACAGTGGAAAGATTAACCTAACTGGTTCGAGTGGCCGTATAAACGGGATAAAATTACAGAGGATTAAACAGCTTGGGATTTCACAATGCAACCTCGTTCCCAGGGTCCTCTCCTACTCGGCATCTCTCTCTCTCGCCACGGGGGCCGAGTAGGAGAGGACCCTGGGAATGAGGTTGTTCAGGATGTGGCCCATGTTGGCCGTATCAACGGGATGGCCGCATTATCGGGGTTTTCTAATAAAAAAAATGTATGGGTGTTTCTCCGGGACCAGAAAAAGTGACTGTAATCAGCCTGGTGCAGTGTTGCTAAAAATTGTGTAATTTTAGATCTTTTAGTCTCCACCTCTTAAGCAAGATTTCGTTGTTTGAATAACTGATGACGCCACTCATCCTGACGTCACAATGGTCCGGAAAATTCCTGGAAACAATTCCAAATTCAAAAGTTGTTGGATGTCCGACTGATACGAAACAATCAAATGAAATTCTGTAAAATGCCATTGGCCACTGGAAGTTTCCAAAAATTCAAACCAGAGGTTTTAATCGAATGGAAAGAGTCTTGGTGAAATCAAAAAGCGAAAGAGTTACTCCATGCTCACACCATACGTTGCACATTTGCCGAACAGCGAAAGCATCCCTTTTAAGATGGGAAGAGACAAAGTTATACTACATTATAATAATTTACCATAAATTCCATTTTCTTTAATGCGCATAATCTTTGCTACCGTTAAGGTGTGACAGGATAATTTTCAATTAAAGGTGGAATCAGCTTGTGCTGTTGCTGATAGAAAATGCATTGCTGACTGCCTTGGGAAATTTAGGAATATAAAGCTTTCGTAAACAGAAATTTCTCTCTGGAAAATACATGCGTAAGATATTTATTCACGAGTTGTGAATAGTTCCGTTAACCTTGTACGTCAATTCATCACTAGTGAAATGTGATCGTTCACTTTTTGAGGGAGTAGTGATTCTTTGCCAGTGACATTTTATTGTTCGCGTTCCTGATTGGTTGAGGACACACAATACTTTTGCAAGTGTCCTTCAGAAAAACCGCTCCTGCGTTATGATGCAAAGTTACAGAAGTTTGGAGAACACTCAAGCAAATAGAATTGTTCTTAACTACGCTTCCAGCAACTTCTGTCTTGCTCCACACACTTTCCGCTTGAATCATAACTCGATGTTGGACACTAAAGTATGAATCAGTTGGTAAATGCCCAAAAAACAATGAAGAATGTAATACTCTCACCTCCAGTCTCTGGACCCCCGATTCCAGGCCCCGGTCCTTCTTCTCCTGGACCCTCTGTTCCCGCTACCGGACCTTCTTCTTCTGCTCCTGGACCTCCTGCTTCGGCTCCAGGGCGTCTACCTCCGGTTCCAGGACGTCTTCCTCCGAATCCTGGACGTCTTCCTCCG